CCCCTTCTGTCTCTCCCAGTGTCTTCTGATCTACAACTTCGTAGTGTTTGTTTACCCTGAGGCGGTGGTCAGTTACGAGCGTCGCTGGGCAGAGAACATGGGCTGGTGTGTGAGCATCGCGCCGCTCCTGCTCGGAGTTCTCGGTGCCGCCCTGCACACTATCTGTACCAGAGAAGGCACGCTCAAGCAGGTGAGAATAGCGATTAGAGTGCGTAGTATTCTTTTTTTTTTTCTTTTTTTTTTTTTTTTTTTTCTTTTTTTTTTTGGTAAGTGGTCGAGGCTGGACCCCAACGCCTGAGTGGCCATGCAAATTAATAGACACCGCTAGTTTGGTGGAGGTCCTTGCAGGCCTTGGCACGAAGCCTTAAACATTTTCAGATGGTAAGAAATTTTGAATTTCGCCCAGGTGGTAGTCAAAGCCTGCTCTTATCGATTTTACATCATCAAGGGGTCGTAAACGTGCACAGCTTGCTCAAGGGACCTCCGATACTTGTCGTCCTTGTCCGAGAAGTCTAGGTGTAGATCTTTCCTACCAGAAGATCAGGGATATGGCTGAAAGACAGCAGTAAGAAGGAGCCATGGAGTAGCAGTAGAAAGGCTGCAGAAAGGGTCAGGAGCCCAGAGGAGGGGGCAAAGGAGGTGAGGGGGTTGGGGCAGAAAGTGGAGACGAAAGCAAACAACAGAACATAGTTAGACAGCAGGAAAAGAGGTGAAAGGAGACAATTTTAGAGAAGAAAAATGTTCCGTCGCTACACGATTTCGAACCCGCGGGACCTTTGAATGAGAGGTGAACACTTTAACCTACCTCTAGGCCACGAGAGCTCCCATAAAGCAATAATAACAGTAGTTATCGAAGAATCAGCGGTAACAACAGTTGCACCACCAACAACGACAACAACAGAAACAAAAGCAAAAACAAAAACAATTGCACAATAGAAGGGGGAATATAAACAAAGGCAACATCTAAAAATATCGACAACATGGTGGTACACAAAAAAAAACCTGGCATCTTCTGGACTTACGCGAAAGGGGATGTGGGGAGGGGCCGGAAGAGGCGTTTAATGATAATCGTAATGGTGAGGGCATCGTTTTGTCATTTCCTTAAGGACAATATCTGACACATGGGAGCAAAATTAATGCTTGGTCATGTCTGTGTGCTCACGCGTAAGCCACTAAAACTTATTCCCCGACGTCTTCAGTAACAAAGACATGACTTCGTCTCATGTGGGGAAGATATTTATTCATCCATTTCCTCTGTACCACCGTTTATCTGGTTTTTTGTTCCACTCAGTCCTGGTTGGAATGAGTAAAGCAACCCATCTCCTAATTGAGAAAAACTAAATCACTGTATGTGTAAAACATTTACAACCAATCAGAACTTTGCTTTTGTGCATGTCTGTAACATTAGAAATACACGAATACATTTACCTCTATTTTGAGAAAGTCTGAAACATGGAAAAGATGAAACTCTAGGTAGGCTGACAAACGAATTGACAAAAAGACCTATAGATTGACTGTAAAACATAACAGGAAAGAATTCTTTATTCTAGATGAAAAGACAGTGCACTCAGAATTGTAGACCGCAAAAAAATGGAGAGACAGATAGAGAGAGACAGAGAGAGGGACAGAGAGAGAGAGAGAGAGAGATGGAGAGAGAGAGAGAGAGAGGGAGAAAGAGACAGAGAGAGAGAAAGAGAGAAAGATAGAGAGAGAGGGAAAGAGAGAGGGAGAGAGAGAGGGAGAGGGAGGGAAGGAGAGAGAGAGAGAGATAGAGGCGGGAAGAAAGAGAGAGAGAGAGAGAGAGAGAGAGAGAGAGAGAGAGAGATTGCCTTGACTAATATAATGTATCTAGTGCACTTAAGTATACGCTAAAGTTCCTTTAACGACCATTGTTTTCACCTTATTTTTATGTACTTCGCAGCGTCTGATTGGCTCGCTTAAGTCTGGAGCCCCGCCCACCCCCGACAATGGGGAGGACTGCATGTCTGTGGACACGGGAGACACCGACCTCAAGTCGCCCGGCCCATCCCGTCATGCCACACCCAGAGCCACGCCCAGGGCCACGCCCAGGGCCACGCCCAAAGCCACGCCCAGGACCCAGGCCAGGGCCCCACTTCTCCAAAACAGCTCACCACTGTTAGACAACCACAGCCCGCCGGGTACAAACCACACCCTTTTCGCTCAAAACCGCCCCAATCTATCTCTGAACCAGGCGGGACCCTCTTCTCGTGAGGTGTGCATCAACAGTCCTACAGGCGGCAGAGAGCAGGCGTCGTTCCCCACTCAGAAAAGTAGTGCCATGGGGTATGGAACTCTTCAGGTACAGAGACCAAAGGCAGAAGTTGAGGTTGTGATGAGATCTACAAGTGATGGAGATATTGCTAGGTTGTGAAGAGCGGTTTGCTCAAGATTCTCACACTCCAGACTGTGAGTGGTACTGTGTCACGAGGAAAGAAGAAGACCGAATGTGCAATAGTAGAAAATACATCACGGAAAATGGATAACTGAAAGAGAATGCCTCACCTCCATACCATTGTTTATCACTGAATCTAAAGACATCGCATGGATTCTCGTGGTTGTGTCGAGCTGTGGAAAACTACTCGTTCACATGGCTGTGGTCATGGGGACTCGCAGTCCAGTACAATATCTTTCCACGTGAGACAATAAAATATCTAGAATATGGCATTTTCGATGCATGCATCTCAAACAGTGTGGCAGACGGTAGTTTGCATTATCCAGTTGCACGTCGTATCCCTTTTGTATATTTCTTTTCCTCTATCAATCGTCGTTAAAGAAGACAATCTGGCAACAACTTTCCCCTAAAATGATGCTGAGATTACAGGGGAATGTTCATTGAACATGACCTGGGAGAAAGCAAACTTTTATCTTGCAACATACACTGTGAAGCAGATGTCGCCAACCAATGTGTTCTTTAAGATTGTCAACCAAATGCTCAGTAAGATACAAGGTGTTTCAAAAAATGTATTCAATTTGCACTTTGAATGCTTGTTAATGCACTTTACATACCCATAACTCGCTAACCTATGAACAGGTTCATTTGTATTATTGGAGACTGCCTAATTCTTAGTGAGAATCCTGACATTTTGAGTCTATAGCTTAATGGAAGGCCAACTTTGAGCCCCACTCCATCCATCCCCAACACACACTAACAACACTGAACTATAAATAGGCCATAGTGCCCAAGTGTATCTTGAAATCGTTTAGTATGTATATCACTTCACTTTATTTGGACGTGATCAATTAAATAATGTGTTTGTTCTTTTTTTTAAGTTGAGACTGTCAACTTTGTTTTAATAAACCTTCAAAGTATGAACGTATTCGGGCCGTATAGATTTCATGTATAACCTGGAGTGATTTCCTGAAGCTCGGTCTGGTAGAAAGTGTTGCTGTTTTATCAAGCAAAGAGAAGGATAGGCAGTGGAGCAGTTGATTTTTAAATACATCTGATTTATAATAAAAAATAATTTCTGAACTTGCACTGGAGTAATATATATATATATCGCCATTTCGAAGTTGTACAGCAGAAAGAACTCCCGGCTTCTGTGTACTTTCTATTTGTTATCCTTTCAGGGAAATCACTCTTGGTATATTCAACTCTGTGGTGTTGACTCCCTGTGTATTCTTTCATTTTTTTGCTTTTTGTGGTGGTGTGAGGTAGAAGCTGTGGTCCGTTTGCTAAACACAATTACGTCATCTGGAGTCTGTGGAGGTGGGGAAATCGACTCGTTGATTCAGCGTCGTTGCCACGTCTCGGACTACAATTATAATTATGCTTCATTTGATTTAAAGCAATTTCATTCCTATGTAAATTTGTAACTCAAAGTGATCTGTCTGCCTCTCTGTTTTCTATTTGTCTGTCTATCTAAGATGTGTATGCCTGAAAGTATGTCGTAGTACGTCCTTGCCCTCTCTCCCACCTTTGTTATCAATCTCTCTCTCTCTCTCTCTCTCTCTCTCTCTCTCTCTCTCTCTCTCTCTCT